TGTGCCCAGGTGTGCCCAGGTGTGCCCAGGTGTGCCCAGGTGTGCCCAAAATGGTCCAAAATGTGCCCAGGTGTGCCCAGGTGTGCCCAGGTGTGCCCCAAATGGGCCCAAAATGTGCCCAGGTGTGCCCCAAATGTGCCCTGGTGTGCCCCAGGTGTTCCCAGGTGTGCCCCAAAATGGGCCCAGGTGTGCCCCAGGTGTGCCCAGGTGTGCCCAGGTGAGCGTGCAGGAGCACCTCCGTATCCTGGGGGGACAGGTAACCCCCAGGTGTGCCCCAGGTGTGCCCAAAATGTGCCCGAGGTGTGCCCCAGGTACCCCAGAATGTCTCCCAGGTGTGCCCAGGTGTGCCCAGGTACCCCAAAATGTGGCTCAGGGACCCCAAAACGTGCCCAGGTGTGCCCCAAAATGTGCCCCAGGTACCCCCCAGGTGTGCCCAGGTAACCCCAAACCTCCCAAAATCCCCATTTTTCACCTCATTTCCACCGGGTTTTTTTCGCCCCGCCCCTCCCAGCCGTGCCCAGGTGTGCCCAGGTGTGCCCAGGTGTGCCCAGGTGCCCCCAAACCCCCCAAAATCCCCGTTTTTCACCCCATTCCCACCGGGTTTTTTTCGCCCCGCCCCTCCCAGCCGTGCCCAGGTGTGCCCAGCCGTGCCCAGGTGTGCCCAGGTGTGCCCAGGTGTGCCAGCCGTGCCCGGCTCACCCTCAGGTAGGCCTGCCAGGTGTGCCAGACCCAGGGCCGGGGCCCCGCCCGGTTGTGGCGCCACATCAGGCCGCAGGTGAGGCAGGTGAGGGCGGGGTTCAGGTGTGCCAGCTCCGCGTCCACCAGCACCTGCACGCCCTGCGCCACGGCCGCCTGCGGGCACAGGTGTGCCAGGTGCGCACAGGTGTGCCAGGTGGGCACAGGTAACCCCAAAACCCCAAAAAATCCCCATTTTCCACCCCATTTCCACCACTTTCCTTCAGCTTTCCCCTCCCAGGTGTGCCCCAGGTGTGCCCAGGTCTTCCTCAGGTGCCCCCAGGTGTGCCCAAGTGTGTCTCAGGTGTGCCCAGGTGCCCCAGGTGTGCCCAGGTAACCCCAGACCCACCCAAAACCTCCCAAAATCCCCATTTTTCACCCCATTTCCACCGGGTTTTTTTTGGCCCGCCCCTCCCGGCTGTGCCCAGGTGTGCCCAGGTGAGTGCCCAGGTGTGCCCAGGTAACCCCAAACCCCCAAAATCCCCATTTTTCACCCCATTTCCCCCGGGTATTTTTTGCCCCGCCCCTCCCAGCCGCGCCCAGGTGTGCCAGGTGAGTGCCCAGGTGTATCTCAGGTGTGCCCAGGTGTATTGTGGGTGTGCCCAGGTACCCCCCAAGTGTGCCCAGGTGTGCCCAGGTGCCCCCAAAACCCCCAAAATCCCCATTTTTCACCCCATTTCCCCCGGGTTTTTTTTGCCCCGCCCCTCCCGGCGGTGCCCAGGTGTGCCCAGGTGTGCCCAGGTGTGCCCAGGTGTGCCCAGGTGTGCCCTCACCTGTGCCACGCGCTGCAGCCGCCCCAGGCCCCGCCCCAGGGCCTCGTTCTCCTCGGGGCTCAGCCAGGGCAGCGCCGGCGCCTGCGGGGGCGGGGCTCGGCTGAGGGGGCGTGGCCACGGGAAGGGGCGTGGCCACGGGAAGGGGCGTGGCCATTGGGAAAGGGGCGTGGCCAACGGGGAAGGGGCGTGGTCATTGGAAAGGGGCGTGGTCACAGGAAATGGGCGTGGTCACGGGAAGGGGCGTGGCCAATGGGAAAGGGGCGTGGCCATGGGGAAAGGGGCGTGGCCAGGGGAAAGGTGTGTGGGTGTGGGGAAAGGGGCGTGGCCATTGGGGAAGGGGCGTGGGCATTGGGAAAATGGGCGTGGCCATGGGAAAGGGGCGTGGCCGTGAGGAGAAATGGGCGTGGTCACTATGATAGGGGCGTGGTCGTGGGGAAAAGAGGCGTGGCCATTGGGGCAAGGGGCGGGGGCATTGGAAAAAGGGGCGTGGCCATGCTAAAGGGGCGTGGTCATGGGGAAATGAGCGTGGCCATTGGGGAAATGGGCGTTGCCATATGAGGAAGGGGCGTGGCCATTGGGGGAAGGGGCGTGGCCATTG